TTTCTAATATGGCATCCCTGCCTTGTAAATAACTTAAGGCTTCAATACATTTGCATAATTTCTACTAAAGAATTTAGTGTATTTGTTTTATCAATTTATCTATCATAATAAATACTGACATAAGATAATATAGTGAGTGTCATGGCTATGACAGCAAATTAACCAGCATCTATTATTTGTGTGGGTATGTTATTAATTACAGCTGCTGAGAGCATATGATTGCATATTTTATAAGCAATAATGGTCAACTGTGTAGTTGTTTATGTCATTAAAAATGGAAGATAATCTCTTAGAAATTTAATATCTCACAATTTTTTTCTCAATTACTTATCTAGCTTTCATCATGTCATTTAAGAGGAAGCTCTAACCACCATATAGTTTTATGATTTGGATTGGTCGTAAATATTCTCTTCTCCAAGAATTTTTGATTTGGTTGGCCTATAAAATTTTCCTTATTAATCCATTCTATCTAAAAATGGCAACAGAGTGTTATATTAGTTTCTTGACCTTTTGTCAATGTAAGTTGCTAATTTTATAATATATAGTTTTTAAAAACCATTATCAATTGAGGCATATGTATGAAATAATTAACCTCTTTTATCACTTGTAATTCTTTAGACCCAAATTTTTTATATCAGCAATCAAAGATATTTTATACTGTAATAAATAGATTTTGTATTAAAAAATAATATTTTTAGAAATGTCATATTGTTTTAATTATTTATATGCCAGTTTATTTTGTATGCATAATGTAATAAATAATCAAAATATGAAATTCAGAATTCAGAGTTAGCAAATTTTTAAAAAGTATAATATATTAATATAAAACCCGGCCGAAGACCAGGCAAAAGCGGGCCGAAGCCCCGCAAATGAGAGGCATGGGGGCGAAGCCACCATTTTTTTTTTTAGTTGAGCCTCTTGAGATTGTAAAGGTTAGCGACGCCCCTGTAACCATTCTATATAAATATATATAAAAATAGATTTTTACTAGTATTTCATATTTAGTAAAAAAATTTTTAACAATAACTATTATTTATATGATTTTTTGAAGGAAATCCAAATTGGTAACATTGGGATTTTATAATGTAATTTTTTCTATAAATTTTTTAAAATTAAATATTAAAAATATGATATAGTAAGAATTGAATATAGGTTATTTTCCATTTAGAAAGCCACTATAATATTTGCAAAAAGTTAGGAGTGGGAATTTTTTTTTATTATACTTTTTTTAAAATTTTTATAAATAATTTTTAGATTACCTCAACATATATTAAACCAGAGGGAGATGGGTTTAAACAATATATTAGCTCAAAACCGCATAAATGTGGATCATCTGGAGTGCTATATGATTTCGAAATATATTTAGAAAAATCCACAAACATAAAAAAAACATAGAAGGGAATTAGCGGAAATATTGTTATACAACTATTAAAAACTGTTCCCCCACATAAAAATAATAAAATTTACATCGATAACTTTTTTTCTTCGTATAATTTAGCAGTTGCTCTCAAAGATAATGGCTTTATCGTGTCGGGGACCCTTATATCTAATTGATTATCGGGATGAAACCTGTATGATGATAGAATCCTAAAGAAAAAAGGAAGAGGGTCCCTTGATTATAAGATTCTAATAATATTATAATTTGCAAACCGTTGATAACAAATGGATTATCACCATATCATCATTTATGGGAATAAATCCAAAATCAAGAACGAGATGGTCGGCATCTTATAAGTCTTTTTTTCAATGTTGAAATTCCGGCCATAATTCAAGACTATAACGGAGGTATGGGCGGGGTGGATCTCCATGATATGTTATTTGAACTCTACAGAACTGACATAAAATGGACACGTTTTTATATGCGAGTTTTCTTTCATTTATTAGATTCCTGTTGTAGTAAATTCATGGTTGCTCTATAGATGTCACATAACAGAAAAATAGTAAACATATATCTCTTTTAGTATTTAAAGCTCCGATAGCTAAATGATTGATTATGGTTGGAAAGGAAAATGGTAAAATAGAAGGTAGACCTACTTTGAAGATTGAAAGGAGGAAATTGAATAGTTTTCATCCAATCACAGAGATTAGATTAGATAAAACAGCCATCGGCGGATAGCAGACAAAGATGCAAGAACTGCAAAAATGGTTGTTCAAGATTTGAATAAATTATAAAATATCTAGATGTTTAAATAAAAATCGCAATTGTTTTATTTCTTATCATTCAAAATAAATTGTATATTTCTTTACATATGAATATCCCAATGACGACAATTGGTTACATTTCATAATTTTATATATATACACTTTTTTAAATAAAAACGTTGAAAATATGTTATTTGTGTCTTGTTTAACTCAGTTTTTTAAAAAAAATTTTGTTCACGGGAAATATTTCGGGCGCGAAAGGGTTAAAAAACATCAAATAATAAATAATATGTTCTTTTCATTTGTATAAATGCATTCGCAATATATTTATTGTTTAGCGGTAATGTGCTCGCGATAATGACTTCGCTCAAATTAGCGATAAAAAATTCCCCATAAAGTGCACGTAAAATGTTTCGCTAAAATGTATTCGCTCTAATAAATTCGAGGTTAAGGTTTCGCGGAATTCGAGGTTAAGGTTTCGCGGAATTCGCGACAATGGCTTCGCGAAATTGTCTTCGCTATAAATGTTTCGCGGAGATATATTCGCAGAATTGGTTTCGCTATAAAAAATTTTCGCGATAAACGACATTCGCGAAAAAGTGTTTCGCGATAAAAGTTTCGCTGAATTGAACTGATACGATTAAAAATTACATGTCATAAAATTAATGCATATTAACAAGAAACTACAACCATTCTATGATATAAAATTTGCCTTAAGCAAGCTATTAGTCAAAAAATAAATAGGTTGGGACACCTTAAAATGAGTGCAAAAGGATTATTATTATTATTAATATTGATATTATTATTATTGAATAGCTAAATAATATAAAAATTGGAATGGCAATTTAGCCAATATTTAATATATTTTTTTTATCTACCTCTTCCCTGACTATGTTAGCGATAGCTCACTAGACATTTTATAAGTAGAAGAATTCAGTCGATTAAAAAGAGGCCTGTTGTTGTTGGTCAATAATTTATTGAACCATATGCTTTACTCTAAGTCTTCACAAGTGAATCTGTCAAATGACGTTCATGAGCCTCACGCATATTCTGTAGGAGTATTATACGAATTGTTATACATTTTTAAACTCCTTCAGCATTTATCCTGACATAGAATGTGCACAAGATATCAATAATCTGAAACCAAAATAAGAAATAATTTGCCATAAACTTAAGATGGGAACACCCTTCAATGTTAGATGCCTATCTCAAATTTGTAATTTAACATGTAATAGTTGGGCCACATTATCTTTATTAATCCTTAAGAAGACTGTTATCTAATAAATATAATATACATTATTATTTTATAAAATATTTTTATATAAATAGGATAAAAGATATATATTTTTTGAAATTTTAACATTTAAATTTTGAAGGATAGTCTAACAAGTGAATCGGGATATTCGTATATTATATACTCTACACATGTATCAATATAGAAGTGGAATGTTTTTTATTGAATAGTAGGGGAGATGTGCTAAAATGGCCTTGTTTTTACTTTTTTCAAATAAAGGCATTTTGGGTTTAACAAATTTTATATCAATGTGTAGCCCAATCCTTAATCTTTAAAATCAAATTTGTATCATAGCCTAGCCCTATGTATAATAGTTTATGAGCTAGCTGAGGTTATGTGAAGTTGTTTTTCTGGCCACTCAAAACATGGTATGTGTTGACTGGCCATATACTATGAGTTAATTAGCCATAATGTATTGTTTAAAAATTTTATTATAAATATTAAATATTACAATATGAAATATGAAATGAAATACTTGTAAAAGACCTATATTAATATTTATTCATTTTTTAGTTAGGTGTATAAAAAATTAATTATCATCTTAATTTTTCATAATCTATTTAATGATAATATTATAAATTAATAACTTAATTATCTTTTTGTTAATCATTCTTAAGTTTATTCATCATTTAATAAATGTTGTTTTGCACGAGCTTTTCATTTCTATATGAATATATGAATGTATAAATAGTGGCCAGTCAATACATGACCCGACAATACTCACTCTGAATATTATTCAGCGCCTTGTCTATTAAATAAAACTTGTAAGCTCTAATTTTTTGTGTGAATAATGTTAAATGCCTCAGTAATCTAAATTGTATTATTTCACCAAACAATAAAATTGTGTAACGTGATTTTTCTAGATAGAGGTATATTTTTTATTAGAGCTATATTTATTAAATGATCTTAGGTAAGGTACATATCATAAATATACATACTTTGACCACTTTTGAGATAAATCTGTCTAATAGATAAAAGTGTTAAAGGGTGGTGGCCAGTGTTGTTAAACGGCTCATTTTGAGCCGATTTTTTAAAACGGATAACTCAAAATTTAGCCAGAAAAGTATTGCCTAAGCCACGAGATTTTGGTAATATATGTATAGACCTTTGTCTTCTATGAGCAAAATCTTCAGGCTTGCGTAATATTTTTCTGGATAAAACATTAAGTTAGCCGTTTTTAAAATCGGCTCAAAACAAGCCGTTTTACAACACTAGTGGTGGCTTGTCATCAAACATGGTCATTTATGGCATATCTCCACTACTTATCTTCAGTTATTAAAAGAAGCATACAATTCAAAATCTTTTATCTAAAAAATTGATATAATAAGCTCAAGTTCAAATATAATTTAAAAAATAATTTTAGTCCATTTTAAGTGACATTAAAATAATTAGCCAATATAAATAGATTCTGATGTTTAGGTTAAACAACTGAATGGTCAGTTTATTAGAAAGATTTTTTGTTGCATTGCATTATAATACGCCCTTCTCTCTTTAAATTTTTTAAAATATATTTTTGATTATCTACATTGATTTACTATTTTTATTTTATATTGAAAAAAAATAGGTATGTATAATCCCATCACAGGAGAAGGTTACGATTAATGGTAGATATGGAATACTAACTTGCCATTTAGATCTATTTCATATATTAGTTATTTTAGAATTTAAAAAACCTATTTTTGTAATAATAATATTATATCTATTTATTATTAATTTTGCATTGTATTCCTTTTTTATAAAAATTTTTCTAATGTAGAATAAAAAGAGATCATTGGCATCTATTATCTCTCATCATTTATATTTGATACTCTGAAACTCAAACCAGAGTACGTCTCAGGATTGAATCACCTATTAATTAGCATGAGCAGACTAGCGTGACAGACTTCTGAGCTTGAATTATTTATTTTAGAATTAATAATTATAATATATTTTTATGATTAATAATTTTGAAAATCCATTTTTACAATTACTTAGATAATTTGATGATGTATCAATATCTTATATCATCTTTATTATATATATATATATATATAACGATATAAAATGCTAAATTATTTTAAGGGGGTGGGGCAGTAATTATATTAAAATTTCTTCCTTTTTTAAAAAATTTTGTACATCCACACATTGGATGTCAAAGAATTCTTTTTCTACAAATAGAAATATTTACATATATCAATGTGTTTCAATTATGTTTTTCATAATATCCACCCCCTCCCCTCCATTCTCCCTTCCTTTTTTAAAAATTATTTTATATTTTATATTGTTTTTTATAGTATATATTATATGTATAATATTTAATTGTTAAAATGTAAATTTGAAATAGAAATATACTATTAACAGATATTAAAATATTTTATTATAAAATATGATATATAAATAAATATGAAACATATGGAATATTAAAGGAAACTAATTTAAACTAGTTTACAATTATGATTTGAAATGTTAAAGAATATAAAATTATAATAGGATTTAATGCTGCCTATATTTTAAAAATTTACCTCATTTCTGAGAAATTTGGTATGGCAAATAATTTTTCCATTATTTATAAGTTTGTAATAGAAAATGACAAATTAAGATTTATCAATAAAATTATAATTATTTTGTTAAAAAATATCAGATTTGACCTGATAGGGGAGGGGCTTCTGCAATTTCATTAGATTTATTCAGCATGAACATTTTGATTTGTACTTAATCAACTATTTCTGATTTATTATTTTTTTTTCTTTTGCAAATTCATACGTCACCTAATTTTACTTTGTCAACAATTATGTAATGATTAAATATTAGAATCATTATATAATCATAATTCATTCTTCATTATCAACCATAATTTATTCATATTGCCCAGCATAATATCATATATAAAAAATAGTTCATACTTCAATACGATTTATTAATATATTTCATTTGGTAGCATATAAATATATATCCCTAGGATTTATGTAATTCTTTATTGCAATCAAATAAACTATTTATACAAATAATACTAATTATATATATTCCAATAACAACATCATAATAATAAATATGAAATTCAAAACACCAGCCATTATTCTAGAACGTTACTCTATTTCCGATAACCACATGATCTTGATTGATGAATCTTAGATATCCAACCCAGTGTTTGGTAGCTAGTCACTACACCCCCCCCCCCCTCCATAAAAATTATTAGTTGACTCTCCTGGGATTGTAACTAGTGACGCCCATGATTTGCATTATTTGGTTTGAATCGAATAATTGTATTTTTCGTATTCGTAGGAATCGAATTATTCCATATTAGTAATCGTACGAATAATAAAAACCTTATTCAATTTGATTCGATTTTTTCAATAGTATTTTAAAAAGGAAAAAATTGTAGTATAAAAAAATCTTCAAAATTTTTTGGAATAGATCTTTAAATATTTTTAAAAAGTTTTTGATAACATCTTGAAAGATTTGTTATGCATGAAAATTAGAAATGATTTACTTAAGATCTTTTTTTACTAAAGAATTTGGAATTTTAGGTAAAATTTGTTCAAAAATCTTTCTCTTTAAAATTATTTTTAAAGATTTTTGCCTAAAAGATTTTTTCCAAACTTTGACAAAATTAGAATAATGAAATATTTATAATATGAATTAGAATCAATTTTAAATGTTATAATATTCTTCCTTTATATTTTCTTTTTACTATCTAAGCTGATTATGTCTTGTTTTAATATAATTTTGTATCTTTTTATATTTGAGTTTAAAAATTATTTTAATTTATACAATAACCTATAATACAAACCATAGTGAAATATAATATATTATAATAAAAAAAAATATTTTCAATAAAAATTATTGATTAATCATATTCAGAGGTGAAACGAATTAGTGTTGTTAAAAAGCTCGATTCGGGTCGATTTTTAAAAATGACCCGATTAATATCATAATCAAATTAATATTATGTAATTGACATTTATTTGTTAAATCTCAAGGTTTGCCTAACAATCCGGCCGTTTTTAAAATTAGGACTAAATCGTACTTTATGACAACACTATCATGAATCTTATTATAATTTGTAAGAAAAATTGTTTAAACAGCTATTTACTAAGAAAAATATTTAATTTGGTAAAAGAAGTGAGCATTAGGATCATATTTTTAATAGAGATTATTTGGCTTTGAGCATTTTTTAGGCACCTGGAATCATAATAATACTTTTCATATTGGAAATGTTTTATAAGGTTCTTTATATATAGTATAGGGTTGATTTGTAGAAAGCATTTTTATATATTTTAATTTATTTGGAAATAAAATTAATTAACTTCTAAATATTGTTTCATTAAATATGTTTTAATTTTTCATAGCTAAACAAATTTATCTATAGTTGGATTAAAATAATTGTCGTATTTTAGAAATCAACAGTCTTTGTCATGTCAATTTGACAGATACCAAGATACTCGCTATTTTATAGCAAGGTTTTTATAAATAATCTAACACAATGATGACAACAGAAAAGAAACTCGTTTTAAGCTTTATTGATTTTTTAAAGGATCAAATAGTGGTAAATAAATCTTCACCAGATTCTGTTGAAAGTTTAGAAGGTTTCGTTTAAATTTACACTTTCTTTATGTAAATATATTCATTTTTTTATTGTAAAATATATTTTTTTAAAATCTAAAATATAGTTGCCATACAGTGTTTGGAAAATGCGTTTGGGGTTACGGCAAATGAATCTACTGATTACATGAAATGTGGGTCTACGAAAATCCTAGATATATATAAAAAAAATATTGACAAGGTTAAATTAATTTTACATATATATATGTATATATATATTTGAAAAATCAGTAGATAGAATTTTGCCTAAGCACCATTTCATAGTTTTTTCTACATAGAATTTATTGTAGGTATTTAGGTCCACTTATTATGGGCATTTAGATATGTTGTATTTAAAAAATAATGATTTTGGGTTTTTACTATTTTTTATAAAAAAATTCGTTGAAATTAAATTATTATTATAAAAATTATTAACTTGATTTATTTTTATTGGAAGGGGAGATTAAACAACTGCTTTCTAAAATGGGGTACAGACCTTTGAAGCAATTGCTTTATAGAAATATATCCCCCCATGTTGATTAGAGTATTTTTTGAATTTTTATGATTTTTACAAAAAACTATTTAAAATTTTATTTATTGCTTTACTACACCCATCTAGTGGGCTCTATACCTTTGAGCTAGGAAAATAGAATAACCTGATGAAAAATAAATACTTCCATCCAAGAGAAGCAGTTACATTTTTTTGACTCTTACTCTTGATTATAAATTTAAAAAATAATATATAAAATAATTTTTATTGCATTATTCAATATATTATAAATAAAAATATTAAAATATAAAGATATTTAAAATTGTAAGCAAAGAGATTTAAAATATTTTTTAAAAAAATAGTAATGTTAAAATAATTTATACTACAATATTTAATTTTTTAAATAAATTTTGTTCCATTGATAAAATGATTAAATTATTAGGAAACAGATTCATAATACTCCAAAGTCATAACCCTTTTGGCACCAACACAAGTTGTAGCAATAGTTAATAAATATTTATATAAAATTAAATTAGGGAGTCAGTAAAATTTGTAAATGATAAGGTATAATAAATGAATAGTTTTTCCAGTTTTAATCTTAACAAGTCTCAGAATCATGAACAATAAGCTGAATAATCTACAAATATTTTAATAAAATAAATTTATAATTCTCAGAATGATGAGTTTTTTGTTTAACTTAGGGATCATCTGTAATATTTACATTCCCCCTTTTTAAATATTTCAAAATTTAGACATTTCATCAAAAACTTGTTTCGAATTCAAATGGTAAAATTCTCAGATATCCATATCATATTTAAAAAGTTTCTCATCACCAATTCTCCTTGGTGTGAAAAACGAGGATTGATTTAAAAATTTAATGGATTCATCATTAAATCTTTCAATAAACTACATTGTTATCAAATAGTGCAACATAAAAAATAAAATATTAATAATGAAGTATATATACCCTTCTTTTTGGATTGAAATGTTTGAAGCCTAGAACCTTCAAAATCAAAAAATAAAATTCTCCTCTTAATAAAAGTTAGAAAAAGATTCAAAAATTTAATAGTATGATCCAATAAGATTAATTAATGATACAACAACTAATTCAGAAGATTTTTTGCTAATTGAATATGATTCATTGCAAACCCTATATCCTTTGACATAGTCTGCAAGCCAAGCTTGTTGTTAATAATATTTTGCCCAAAATGCAAAGTGATAAAATAATTGGTCATTCCATGACAAATCCACCACGATTCTACCGACCCCTTCGATTTTTTTAAAATTTGGTAAGCAAAGAAAGGGTAGTGTAGTTAAGAAATAGCCAAAATTTTAGCCTCGTATCATTTATATTTTTGGAGATATTAGGGTTCAAAGTGGCAAAAATGACGTATTTTTACCATTATCTGCCTTCATTCATTTAAGCATATCTTAAAAACTACATAATTGTAAATAACAAATTTAATATCAAAATTGCGTAGAAAGATTCTACTTTTAGATAAAAAATTTCCGGTCATTTTATTTAATATAAAAGGACTAAAAACAATTTTTTGGAAATAATACGACCTTCAATTTTTTAAAAAAATTTAGTAGTTATTAAACTCTTTCTTTATATTTATAAAAAAAATTAATCTGGGACGCGGCCATCTTCATTCTCAAAATCGATAAAAATGTTTAGAAAAGTGTATAAATATTGTCCCAAAAGGGGGCGTCTTTGTATAAAATTATATATTAATCAGTTTTTAATGGTTTTTCTTGGACTATTTTATATAATTTAAAGGATTATTCATCTTGTAAGTGAAAATAACAATAAATGGGGCTTTCATTCAATTATAGAAATTGTCTATCGATAAAAGAAATTCAATTAATTTATTACTTTATTTATAATTTATTATAAAATTTTTTGCGCATATAACATATATTTAATGAATATTAATAAAATATGTTCAATTAAGTTTCGAGTTCTTGAATATATGAATCAGAATCTTGTGCATTTCATATATGGCGCCAAAAAATTGATATAATTTAAATTTAAAAATCTAATAAACAACTCACCTTTAAAAGATTCTAATTTTTTGGTATCGCATTTACTTTCTTGTGACAACAATGTATAACTACGGCCAGTAGCAGTTAACAGTGAAACTAATGTTAAGATATGACATTTGGACAAGTAAAGAGTGTCGTCTATATTTGAAAATGTAAAGGAATTAGAAGGTCCGGATGGGTTAAAAACTTTATATATATTTCTTCCTGCTTTTAATTTTTCACTAAAACAAAATACGTTAGGTATCCTGATATTTCTTCAATAATTATACTTTCATCATTATATGATAACTATTCTATAGTACTTTCTATTGAATTGGAATACATTTTACTTTTAAATTAATGTAGATATGTTGGAATCAAGGTGTGTATTTTGTGTGTTCCAGGTATAGATCTAGTTTTTGAAAATCTTTTCTTGAGTAATAGATCTTCTTAATCATAATTTATTTTGGTCATCTATTCAAAATATATGACATTAATATTTTCTTTATTTAACTCGTACAATTCATATCATATGATAAGGTTATTAACTTTGAGTAAGGCCTTGTAAACTAGCTCTAGCGGCTAATCTTTTAACAGTGCCACCAATCCCATCACAAACATTTTCCCCGTGTGCTAAGCAGAAAAATGCCATTTCGCCTGTACCCCGAAATCCATCTCATGATGGCAAATATTAATAAAATTTTTATGATTTTTATCATCGGAAAAATAAAAAATTTTATTTGGCCTATAAATTTTATTAATTAAAAAATTTACTAATGTTTTTTTGAAATTATGTACTGCTATTGTATTGTGTTGCAAAGATTCGGATATCATTACGTAATTTAGGCAACAAATATTGGCAAAATTATCTTTATAATATATAACAAAAGGGTGAGCAGTGGATAAAGCTATAGTTTTCTTAAAAATCACATAAAATTAAATATTGGTCTTCGTCTAAGTTCAATTTTAGATTGTCTTGATACAACGATTGTTGCGTTGAAATAAAAAAATGGAGTAATAAAGATTCCATTTTTTCAAAAAAGGCATTGATAAATTCACCTACTGGTTTGGTTATTGTTTCAAGAGTGGTTCTATCTACGGATAGCCATTGTTTGTATGTTATAAATTCGATGTCCTTAGAACGAAACAATATTTCTATTTGATCGCGTAATGTGTTGACCCTGGACAATTATCACATTTGCCCATATAAACTGGATTGTTGAGGCGAATTACAAATTATTAAGTGTAAAATATGTTTGTATGTTTTAAAGGGCAACATATCATTGGTTAAATTTGATCCAATGATCATTAATTTAAAATTTTGGCGGTAGCTGCAATCACATACATGTGTACCACTACCTCCAACGAGTATACAATTTTTGAGCGAATGCTTGCAAATTTCGAAAAACCAATTTTAACATCAGGCCTCATTTCTTTAAAAAATATATGAATTTCTTTCAAATTATCTAAAATTAATCTCTTATGCATGGTATTCTTTTTCCGTCTTTGGTCAAAATCTAAACGCAATCTTTCTTGCCTGGCATGATTCTGCTTATTTCGTCCATACAATAAAATTCTTGTACAATTTTAGCTGTATATTCGTCTATAGTTTTTCCAGGCTTGGGGTTAGGTGTTGATAGAAATCAAAATACCAATAAATTAATTAAAAAATGAATTAATATAGTGAGCATGTATTTTGAATGATTAATCAATTTTAAAATTTTTATTTATTTTATTGATTGAAACACTTATTTATTGTTATTCTAATTTAGTAAGGCTATGCTGATTTAAGAAAATCCGATCCAATATTTATATTGTTTTGGGTTATTTTATGATAATACTTTTATTTTGTTTATAATTTCATAATAATAATAAATTAATATTTGTAATATTTTAAAAATATCAAATTATTTTAAAAAATTGAGTAGAGAAAATTTTGATATTATTTTTTGGCGTCTATGAAATGCACAAGATTCTGATTCATATATTCAAGAACTATAAACTTGGTTAAATATATTAATATTCATTAAATATATGCTATATGGGCAAAATTTTTATAAATTATAAATAAAGTAATAAATTGAATTTCTTTTATCGATATACAATTTCTATAATTGAACGAAAGCCCCATTTATTGTTATTTTCACTATAAGATGAATAATCCTTTAAATTATATCAAATAGTCCAAGAAAAACCATTAAAAACTGATTAATATATAATTTTATACAAAGACGCCCCATTTCGGGAAAATATTTATACACTTTTCTAAACATTTTTATCGATTTTGAGAATGAAGATGGCCGCTGCTAAACCAATTTTTTTATATAAATATAAAGGAAGAGTTTAATAATGTCTACGAAATTTTTTAAAAAAATTGAAGGCCGTATTATTTCCAAAAAATCGTTTTTAGTCTTTATATATTAAATAAAATGGCCAGAAATTGGTAAAAAAAATAAAAAAATTTTTTTATCTAAAAGTAGAATCTTTGTACGTAATTTTGATATTAAATTCGTTATTTACAATTATGTAGTTTTTAAGATATGCTTAATTGAATGAAGGCAGATAATGGTAAAAGTAAGTCATTTTTGCCACCTTAAACCCTAATATCTTCAAAAATATAAATGTTAGGAGGCTAAAATTTTGGCTATTTCTTAGTTACATTGACCTTTCTTTGCTTACCAAATTTTAAAAAAATCGAAAGGGGTCGGCCGAAAATCTCATTTTTTTGCTCATTTGATGTGGAATGACCCTAATATGTTTTAAAAATTATAGCACTAGTCTTGGAAATGGCAGGATCTTTGGAAATCTATGACAAAGCTGTTCTCAGGCCATCATAAAGTATAATTATTTTAGCTTTATAAGCTAATAACCAGCTTCTATAAATATATAAAATAAATATGTTAAATCTAAACAAATAAGTTAATAATATTGAGTGATATTATTGATACTTATAATTTATTACGATTTTGTTACCACTCGGATATACTATATACACTGCATATCTTTTAACCTCACATAAATAAACATGAATATCATCTAAGATCCCTATAACATTTCTAAGGCCTAATACAGATTGGCATAATTGAACAATGATTGAATTTAATGACAATAGCACCACACCAAAGCCTCCTTTTTGGTCTCAGCTTCCAAGCCTGTACTCTGTTCCTTCTACTCACTTTGAAGCACCATCATAGCTTTGCCCAACTAAGTATTCCAGGGGTACATTCATGGAATTAAAATTTTTTTATAAATATCCAACACCAGTCATGTTACTTTACAATATTTATCAATGTGACTTTGGTGTTTAACTATTGTCAATACATCTTACAACATTATTGTTTCTAATTTAGTAATAATTGAGAAGCATCTATTAGATTCAATTTCTTTTTGAATTTTTTTATAACCACTTTTTTTATGATTTCAAGAAGTCTATTTAATATAAAAGATTTGAATATAGTTTGGATTCTAATCCCATTTGTTCTCAAGAATTTATAAAGGGGAGAAATTTATTTACCTTTTTATTATGAAATTTCTAACTTCAAACATTTCAATCCAAAAAGGAAGGGTAGCTAAAATCAGGAGGACTGGCAACCCTAATTATGACATTAAATTTATACAAAAATTTTAATAATGTTTTTGATAGGATATAAAATTAATATCACCAGAGCAAAAGACAGAAGCAGATGATCATAAAAATAAAGGTTTTTTTTTAAAATGCAATATAATTTTAAATATATTATATTAGGGAATGATTTGATAAAACTAGAAAATGCTCAAGAAGCTTTAGAACATTATAACAAAGCTATTTTGATTGATGATTCGGATCCAATATATTATTGTAACAGGTATGTTTATATTGGTTTTAAACCTAATATTAATCATGAAATGACATCATGTAAATATAATTTTTTATCCAATATAATTTGGGCTGTATCTTTTGGTGGTTTAGGGCAAAAATGGCCTAATTAAAATTCAGTTTGTCTAGATTTATATCAAAATTTCCTCTATATTTTATTACTAAAAAAACAAAAGCTTTTTTGAGTTATCACATAAATGGTTAATTTAATTAAAAATAGGCGTAATTACAAAATACACTAAATTTAACAGGTTAGAAATGATTATTCATAACCAAATTGTATAATGATTTTAAACATTATTAACTATATTATTGTACTAAACAGTTATATTTATAACTTCATTGCTTTTCGTAAAGGGTAATATAATGTGTGATATAATATATTATCTACGCAATCAATTTAAGTACCAATATTATTTTTTATGGAAATTAGGGATAGGGCAATGAGTTAATCATGCAAACTTCAGGTAGGTCTTGATTAATTTAAGCTTAAAATTATCACTACAAACCACAGTGATCAGAATTGTTAGTAAAATTTTTAAAACAATTTAAATATTTTTTAACGCCTCTCCTAACTTATTCCTATGGATAAAGCTTAAAATTTGTTTTAGAGTATTCATGGTATGTGTGGATAATATATTAATTAGCGTTTTTAGTTCTATTATTAGATTTAATTCATTAATACCGCTTTCCAGTGAATCCTTGGTCTGTAAGAAAAATATTTTATTTATTGCATATGATCTTAAATCAGCTTCGGATGGTTTGATAAATCAGATATATCAAAGAGGAAGCTAAAATTGTTCTTAAATATTTAAACATAAACATTGAAAACATTTGAAAGCGTTCTTGTAATGACATCATCACAGCCAGATGGAACAAAACACTGAAGAATCAATATTATATTTTTCCTCAAGATTATATATAGGTTCATCCTCAACTTCATGGAAAAATTCTTTTAAGTTTTCTTTTGATGAATTGACTTTATTGCTGATTAATATTTTTTTGGCAAACTAGGAAGAATATCTTTGACCATTCTTCTTAGCGATCTAAAAATTTATCTATTTTATAAGCATAACTGCATTTGATATTGTCTCTTTATATAATCCTGTTTACAAGATTCGCTTATGCCAGAGCATCATACTAGTTAACTAGTAACCAAAAACGAGAAAATTGTTTATTCTTTTGATGAAACCCTCTCCATGCTTCATTTTGGGTCTTTGTTTCTAAAACATCCAACAAACGGTCGTAAATATTACCAAATATCGCTTTTAGATTTTTTAATTTTTCCCTTCTGTTTTTCGCTAACGGATTCAATGTAAACTATTTATATAATGGCAGAAAATATAATACATATATACACTTTACAATACCATAAAAATTCTCAATAGTCAAAAATCTTAGGTGTCACAAAGCAACTAGTTGAGTCTATGACAAACTTAAAACATAATCACGCTCTTCAATTCATTTCTAAAAATTAATACATGGACGACCTTTAGTAATCTCTTACATAAATAAAATAACAATCATTAGTCATGTCATTATCATACCCTTCAACTTCCACTTGGTTTGATATTTGTCTTTTACTGGGCTGGGCTGGACAATTGTTCAATTTTTTTTATGGGCCAGACCAAGGTTTTGAAAGTGTAGCTGATAAGACAAGTTTATGTCGCTTTTATTCATAAAAAGTTATTATGGGCTGGGCCAAAAAATTATCTTTGCTAGGCCAGTTTTCGCCCACCTTTACTTTCTATATGATATTTTTTAAATAATAAATTATCTAAAAGTTACTATCACCATTTTCTATGTCTGGCCTGAAAGAGGCTTTGAGTTTGACTGAGCTGTGCATATCTCTAACATTAAAATATGGCGTAAGTTATTTTATAGATTGATTTTTTTTCTATTATCATTCAAAAGTTAAAAAATTAATGAATGAATTTATATTAACCTATTTATGATCACGCTTTTTCCAGCCGGTAAAATTCTTGATTTTTTCAAATTTTATTTATTTTAGTTTATCTAAGAAATCATTTAAAATCGGAACGAAAAAATCATCCTAAATAGAAAATCTGAACCGTCGCATATCTGCAACGTTGACCATTAGGGGTATAAAAATAAGATAAAATTATATTATTGCAAAAAATCGAAATATGATAGATAATTCCAAAATTTATTTTTTGCATTTATAAGATAATATTTTATAATTTTAATATTTTATGAAATTTTTGAAAACAATCAATATGTATTGGTATTTGACACATGTTACATATATATCTTGTCTGACTATGACAAAGCTTACAACGTCGCCTTTTGTTATCGATAAGTTTTAACATAATGACCATAAGAATTTTCAGGTTTTTTGAGAAAATTGACTAGAATGGCCTCTATTTGTACACTCATCTTTTTTTTAACGGGAGTTTTCAAATGTGTCATAGTTATTTCCCGCCAAAATGTTAGTAATGATTTTTTATCATCAGGATTCACTCGATTCCATAACTTCCATGAATTTACTACTGCTACGTCAATAAAATTGCTAAAAATAGATCACCACTATTTTTACCTCGTATATTTATTCTGTATGTTGACACTAGGTTATCGCACATATCAAAGCCACCCATATTACAATTATATGAATTTAAAAGTTTTGGTTGTGTAATTTTGTTTTTGAGAAAATCTTTCGATAGAATCTTGATACGTTGCATAGAGGGCTAAAAACTTTACATGTTGAGGCAACTGTCACCACTGAACTATCATTTTATCGAACTACAAATATTTCTTATATCTTTTCAAATCGGTAGTCGTATTAGCCCCTCTCTTTTTTTGCCATAACTTTAATTGTTTTTAGGGAAGAATTTTCAAGTCTATTTTCTCTTATAGTCTCAGTTGCGAAAAATTCAAGATGCATCAAATGTGATAAAAGCCTTAGGAGATATAAAAAATTATTGAAGTAAATAGAATGTAAAATTTGTAACAACCATATTTCCTAATCCAAGATTCGAAGCTATTGGACTTTTATTTTTACCTTGATATATATTAAATGCAAGTGTATATCCATTGGAGGAAGCAAGGGTGCATGATTTATATCCAAATCGAATGGCTTACCAAACATTTTACTGGGATTTCTTCCTCGATACGGTATCATTTGCTCATATATCCTTAAATTATATAAAAATATACCAAATTGTTGAAACTTTTTATTTAGTGAATTTGAATATGGATGTACTTAATAAAGATTATCCTCTTCATTAAGTGTTGAATCTATATATATAATCACCGTAATCAAGAAATGAACGTTTTCGTATAATCTTAATGTTAATTTTTATTTTTTCTATCAACTTTCCTATTCTCTTAATGTTAAATAAATCGATGGAGACTATATATATCTAATGTTAAATTTTAAGAAAATTTTTTGTACATCACGGGATTCGAACATATGACTTAACGTTTTAAAGGCAAATATTCTTCCACTCAGCCACCTTCAATATTAAATTTTGTAATATAATCTTTCTTATATATGTTATTATTTTGCTATTAACATATTTTTAATTAATTTATATAATTTAGATCTTATTGTGTTATATTAAAAAGAATACTAACCTCACCTCATTATGGTAAGAATGAATATTATTAAATTTAAAATAGCAAATTAAATTATATTTTGCCAATTGAAAAATAAACATTTATCTCATATTAATTTTAGCGTAAGTATTTATATTCAATCAAAGTAAAATTTATTAATTTTTATAAAATTATTTTTATATTACTATTTAGATTTAAAAAATAAATTTAAATTATTTATCACCCCAAAATATGGCAGTAAATTTTTTTTTATCTCAACCACAATATGGGAGCTCTGCAAATAGTATAAAATACCTATTTATCAATATCTTCCCATGCCAGAAAATTAACCTCCCTCACTAATCTTAAGTACTTATTATAATTTAGATTTAACAAATAAATTTAGATTATATTTAGCCAATTGAAAAATAAACATTTATCTCATATTACCATCCCAAAATAGGCCAGTATAAAAATTTTATCTCAACAACAATATTTGAACCCTGGAAATGACATACAATACGAATTTATCAATATCTACCCTACATTTTTAATTACAATTTCATATATTTTACGCCAAATTTAATAAAATGAAAAAATAATCACTAAAATTTGTCTATTTTATATAAAAAAATGTATTTAAAAAAAAATTTCATATAATAGTTCAAGATTTTATTATTCCCGTCATTCTTGACGGGTTATCAACTAGTTATTAAATAAATGTAGATATTTTTTTGATATCGCAAAATGTATGTTGTGTCATTGAATTCCTAACGATTGGTATAATAATATCATTGTCATTCGACCAATACATTCTTTCTTGCGATAAGGAATGGTATCCTGATAGCAAAAGAATTCCTATAAATTTTTTTATCTCTGACTCGGTTGTAATAAAATTTGTTCTATTGTTTTGTTTGGAATAAATATGTGATTGATTCACAAGCAGTGAATACATATCTTAATCAAAAATGGAGTTTTTCCGATCAAATCAAATTGAAGATTTGATTATAATTCCTTATCATTATCAGTAGATCTAGATGTGTAAATTGGATCAATTTTTCTCCATTTTAAATTATTTCGAAAATTTAATTTGCTCTCTTGATTTTTAGGTATTGAGGATTTTGAAACAATATCAATGTCTGCTGGATTATGGATTTCGATCTCCCCTGCAGTATCTAATGGAAGATTAGATGTGTCGGTGTGATCGTTTTCATCGAAATCTTCTTCATCTCTAACTAAACCAGCATTATGAGGTATAATTACAACATCTGCTTCATCACCAGAGCCTTCATCTAAAAACATGGATAGGGCTTCATCAACTGTTAGAAATTGTTTTGTCTTAATAATATTCTATTATTATTTAAAAATTTGGTAAATATAAAATGATTATAAATAATTTTTATATTCAAATGAAAAAATATAATGATAATAACAATAAAATTTTTAATTTTCTGGAATTTTTATATAAATAATAAAAATATTATGAAGAAAAAATAGTATTTTTGTTTAGTAAGAATATAAACTAAAATTTATTATAAAATATTTTGCCAAATTTTTTTTAGAAAAATTACTTTTTTTGAACCCTTATGTGGTCATCGTTGCATAAATGGTATAGTAAAAAACATATGATTATAAGTTCGAGAATAGATATGATGGGCCAAAATTAATTAGAATAGGCTAAGACATCTATAAGAAATAAATTTATGTCAATTACAATACTCTTTCAACGAGGGAGCTTATAACATATGGTATTTTAATAGTCCAAAATTGTCAAAGCATAAGCTTTATGTTTATGTCATAAAATAAATTTTTTATAAATAAAATAAATAAGCTATGCAATATGTAGATTTGCTGAGCTTGAATTGGCCTGAAGATTTTATAAAGATTAATATTTATTTAAAGAAAATGTGAATGAAATATTTTAAATTTTATATAAAATTCTGTAAAATATTTTGCATGAGTTGTCTGGCTAATTTTTAGCCCGGTTAGGTTTGTTGGCTGAGGCAGATTTATAATATAAAAAAACTGCAGAAATCTTTTATAGATTGATAATTGAAAGAAGTCAATCAATAAAAAAAACTTATACAATATTATGTTGGGGATCTGAACACCCCAACCCAAAACTTCATCCACGGACCACGCATTGAAAATTATATGATATGAACCTTTTAGATCATTATTTAAAATATTTTTTTTATGGAAACATTGATCATTTATGGAACGAAAATATGCCATCTATAGTATAAATAAAAGATTAATTTGCTCATTTTATATTAGTTTTATGGATTTTACTTATGATGTCGTAAAATCTCATCTCTAATTTGTTTTTTATTAATGTATATAGTAATGTTTGTTTAAAATTTTATTAAGATCAAAGCGACTCCTTTCCTTTATTTTAATACTAAATTTATTATTTTCATGCTTGTGGTTTTTAATTAATTATCAATTAAATGAAAACCGACATTCATAAAAAATGCTTCTACCCCTGATATCTTAAAAAGTTTTAGAAGGTGGAAATTTTGCTTTAAATATATAAAAACTGAGAAATGTCTTAAAATCATGTTTTTTTGATCAATCTTTCATGAAATGACCCTAATATGGCATAACCAGAGGACCCCTCATATTGGCAAATTTGCAAAGTTTTGTAAATATCATTCTAATAAATAAAATTTGATAACTCCCTCTCCTTCCAATAAGTAAATATACAAAACAAGAAGAAATAAATAAAATAAGAATAAACAAATTTTAAATAAATTTTAAGAATAATTACTATAGCCAGAAAATAATATTTTTGAGGGGGGTGAAACTCTCCATCGATTATTTTTTAATTAATTTATTTTTCATATATATTTATTTCCAAGAGCCGCAGCTTATTTGAAGTTGAACGATGTGAATAATGCTATAAAGGATTGTCAAAAAGCTCTCCAGCTTAACCCATCATATGGCAAAGCATATGGCAGATTGGGGTAAAAAAATTTGATTTCAATTTATCATTAAAATTATGCTTGAAAGATTATTATAAACCGAATTATATAATAAACATCATTTTATGATGATATGGTTTCATAAAAAAAACATAATCATCAGATTTGTTAGAACCTTATTTTGTGTGTAATGTTATTTAAGCATGCATGCTGAGCTTAAAATTTTGGTCAACGAGTCATTTAAATTGCCAAGGTAAGGTTATAAAAAAAAATTTTAAACAAAGTTTTAGTAAATATTTATAGATTGAAAAATAAAAAAATAAACAACGTTATTTTCTAATAATTTTCTCATCATTATGATTTTTTTAAAAAGGCTAATTTTTTAATTTTCAGAAATCACCATTTTTACAAAAATCATAAAAATTTTGTTATCCTAAGAAAATTTAGAATTTTATTTTATATTAAACTCTTAAGATGTTGTGAGTATGTAAGTATGTGCACTTATTAAGATATATGCAATTTAAAGTTGGGGATGTCAAACCTCTCATTTTACCTTAAATAAACTTGAAAAACTTTTTGCAGCCACTAAATTTTTTTTATGATTGACTACATTTTTTAAATTTAATGATTTTTTTGGGAATAGAATTTACCTTTTCTAAAAAAATGGATATACTTGATTAAAATATATATATATATATATATACATACTTATTTTTTGAAATCTTAACTTGTAATTTTTTTTACTTTTTCAATCTTACTTTGTAATTTCTCTTATCTTCATTGCAATATTTTTAGATATTAAAAATAATGCTATATCCTAAAAGTAGAACAAAAAATTTAATTTGTATGTTAAATTTTTTTTAAAGGATACAAATAAGAGAAAATAGTATGAATGAACAATAAAAAAAATAGAGTAACTTTTTCTTTATTATATCTAGCTTAGCCTATATAGCTGCTGAAAAATTTACGGAAGCCAAATCCTGTTACGAAAAAGCTCTCTCGCTAGAACCTTCCAATGAGAGCTACCAAAATAACTTAAAAGTATGAAAAGGCAAAAAAAATATTTAGTTGAAACAATATTTTTTAAAATCCTAATGTTTTTTTAAACCTATAAACTTTAATAAGTTTCCTCTTTATTATAAAATTGATAAGAAAGCCATAAATTCAAACACTATTTACTGAAAAGGAAGGTATGATATATTAATTCTAAATACTGTATAATCAGTACATGTACTCTAGGAAAAATGCTTAATTTTCATATTCCAAGAATTTTCCCCATGAATTTACAATCATTTTTATACTAATGTGACTTTTTTACTGTATGCATAAAGATAGTAATTGACAAATTGGCCGACGCACACATGACAACAGACAAATCGGGAACCGCCCAATCCATTCCTGGTGGGATGGGCTGTTTAGGAAACATATTTGGGATTTCGGGGGCCGGCGGTGTCGGAGGCGGAAGCACTAATTGTGCCAATAATCTAGATTTCGGTGCCATGTTAAACAATCCAGCACTGATCAATATGGCCACTAATCTTATGGCAGACCATAATATTCAAAAGGCGTAAAAAACCATTAAATTTTTAAAACGCTTCCTTTCCTTTTTAATATAAACGATCTTCATAAAAGTTTTTAGCACAGTAAAAGTAAGCTAACATTTTGATAGAGGCTTTATTATATTGAAGAATATTAAGAATAAGTTTATTAAATAAAACGCTCAAATTAATAATTAAATCGTGAGTTAAATAAAATTCAAAAGGGGGGAATCTGTATTTCCATAAAATATGGGAGCTTATGTGCGAATAGAATTAAGTTGTTATTAAAAATTTATCAAAATATAAATTTTCGCCAAATTTTGTGTCAAAAGGGATTATTTCTTAACAAAAATAAGAATGAATTTTAGAAAATATAATGAAAACCATATTTGTTTTGTCTTAATAAAATTTAAGTTTTCATGGTAAACACTCATAAAATATAATAATTTATAGTGCTGTAAACATTTCTAAAAAAATCGAACGCGTTCATGATCAAGTTCATGTTCAAAAAAAGGAACACGTTCACGAACGCGTTCACGTTCACGAACGCTTCACGTTCACGAACGCGTTCACGTTCACGAACGCGTTCACGTTCATAAAACCGTTCAAAATTTTATGATTAATTTTTATTAAATTAAATTTAATATAAATAAACTTATATTTTTTACTACAATATATTTTAGCCATGTTAAAAAATAATATAGTTATATTTTGATAATATAATATAATATAGCGAATAAAAAGATATTTTTATTTATAAAAAATTTTTCTTATTAAATTTTAATAACAATTGTTTTCAAAATATTTATCTGATAGACAGGAACACTGGCAGTTAATACGGCATTAGCCTAAACGCGCTCTACAGGGGAAGATGAGGGGATTTAGGTATTATACTTAATAAACAGCTCTTTTAACGTGGAGAATTAATTAAAAACATATTGTTTTGTTATTTGCAAAAAATTGAGATAAGTTATCTCCTCCAATCCATTCTCTACTCTCGACAAAAAAAGGATATCTCGAAATTAACAGTTCTCTAGGGTTTTCAAAGCATTTTTTTCAATAACGCTATAAGTTTTATTTTAATAGGTTCGTTCTGTGGAAGTTTTATCCATGGCCATTGAAGTTTGAATTCTGGATGTATAATTGCAGAAAGAACATATTGATCCTTATATATATGTTCAAATCTTTAAAAAATATAAAATAATGTAATTAATTGAGAGTGATAGGTTTAATACCTTTTATTAATCCCATTTAATACGGCGTCTATCAATGGTTGACCATATTTGAGGCCACTAATTTTTTTAATTTTAAAATAACTATCGTTTTTGTTGGGGTCAAATATCCCAAATGCATTATTTCTTCAAATTTAATGATTTAACTTAGTTATATCATATAAAATCAAATAATTAATATTAAAATCAAATGTCGTTTTAAGAACCTGAAGATTTTGACAATATAATACTTTTTGGCCACATTTTACACTTGGTAAGCATTGGATTAGTTCCTTTAATATAGGATGTTAATGTAAAACATTTATCATATTTGGCCATAGTAATGATAATTCATCTGATTTTGGATTTTCTGAATCAGATGATGAGGATTAAATAATAATATCCATGCTTATGCTAATCTATTAAATTAAAATATAAACAATAAAATTTAAACTAATAAACTATAATAATGGTGTGTTAAAAAAATTGAAATGTGAAAAGGAAATACACAGCCGATAAAAAATTTGGAAATATTAAATTTTTCAAATAAATAAAAATAAAAGTATTTTTACAATTGAACGAACGTTAAATTCGAACGCGTTCATCATAAAAAAAGGAACGCGTTCACGTTCAAAGTTCATCAAAAATAAAAGGAACGCCGTTCATCATTTTTTTCAAAAAAACGAACTTCAATAATTTATGATTAAAATATGGCGAACCTATTTAATTATAGGTGAATTTGCAGGAAATATTAATATCAGTAAATGTGGTGATATTGATATTTTTTTGTGAATAAAAAAAGTGGCTTGTAATCATTTAGGGGAAAAATCCCTAACAGTCCTAGAGGGGAGGGGGCAAGGGTGCTAGTCAAATCATGTCAAATAGTAGGGGTTAGACAGTTATTTCTGTTGGAGATGTTTGTGCACAAGGTGCTTGCTAAAAAGATTGAGGCAGTGTTTGACGTCCATTATTTAAGTGCCTGTGGAAATAAGTCATTCAGGTTGATGTCTATGATGTCCATAATCGGGGTTAGAATGGTTGAATAATTCGGCTCAGAGTAGACATGTTCATGGGATTATCGATTCATCTTGATCTTTCACATTGATTTACTTTGATTATTGTAAGCTTTAAAACATTCCTCTCATTATTTTATTATGATCACCTCTTACTTTTAACCACAATTTTTCGTTAATAATTAAATGTTCTAGTATATTTATCAGAGATCTGTAGAGGTACCATTTCGGCGGCCCGGCCCGGATTCAAAAAAATTTCAGCACAGGCTTTTTTAAAATTTTTTCGGCCTGTCCTGGCCCTCATTTTATATTTTCAGGCTTGGATTTAAAAAAAAATTATTTTGTCCTGATCAGGATTTTTTTTAAATATAGGAAATTTATTTTATAGATAATATAATGATAGCGATTAAAAAATTTAAGATAAGGCCCATCCTGTGTACCTGGCTGGGCCTGCAGGGCTCTGATATTTATTATTAAAAGTATTGGGTAATACTTAAGTACTTTAAGTAATGTGTGATTTCAGTGAGGGAACCAAGAAAGTTAAAATTACTCGATTTTGGTTTTTGAGGAGTAAATACCTTTTCAAGAAGATATAATCTATTGAAATACACACCATAAAAAGCATCCAGATATAGATTTTTTGATTGGGGAATCTGAAAGAAGGGAAATGGAGATAATAGAGAGTAAGGAAATGAGAAGGGTAGAAAGAAAAGAAATAGATAAGTTGATATCATCTCCTTTTAATGACGATTTCCAGGTAGGCCAGTTTTCCCTCTGATTTTTTTTTCCATTTTTGTTGGGCCTCAGCATTTTGTAAGATTCATTTTTCTCATATCTGCCCCTATCATATTTATCCACGTCATCTTGGTCCTCCTATTTCCATCAAGATGCATCTCTTTACCCAGTCATCTTTTGCCTTACGTTCCACATGCCCAAATCATCTAAGTCTATTTCTTCGCATTACCACTCAAAATATTTCTATACCCAATGCTAGTTTTTCTTTCTCTCAGAGATACCCCACACATCCATATAATCATCCTCATCTCTGATCTTTCTAATTTGATTTTGTGGGTCGCATTTATTGCCCATGTTTTACCGCTATAACACTAAACAACTCCTTACACAGTTTACATAAACTTTCCCCTTTAACTTCAGAGAGACGCTTTTATTTGTTTAAATAGATGACATCTCTTTGAACTTCTTACATGCTTGTCTGAAAGCAGCTATATCACCCAAACAAAATTTTCCCACTTTTTCCACAGTTAACTCATTGCTAATATCCAAACCACCATTTTCTACATTATCAGTATTAAGTACCCCTATTATGTGTGTTCTACAACTAAAGGTCATTCTTGCTAACATCAGACTTCCTTTTATCACGCTACATCTTTTGCACCCATTTCTGGTATCTGGTGCTTGAATTTCTAGAAACTTCTTTCCCTCATACATCACATGGCTGGTTGCCGGATTCCTCCGTCTTCAGATTTTCCCCACTAATCATCACCTTCTTTACGCATTCATTTTCAGGCTTTTTGCTTCCATAGCCATCTTCCATTTACTAATTTAATCCCTTAATTTTTTTTCACTGTTTGCCATTATTACAAGGTCATCTGCATATAATAGCTCGCAGGGAAGTCCTTCACGCATTTATCTAGCCACCACATCCATTACTAAGATAAATAATAATGAACTTAGCATGGATCCCTGATTAAGTCCTACCTTCACTTCAATTTTCACTATCTCATCATCCACCCGTACTGGAGTTTGTGCTCCCACATACATCGCCTTAACTGCCATAACCAACCATTCTTCCACCTGATTTTCCCAAGGCCTATCTAGTAACCTTGCGTATGACCCAACCAAATGCTTTCTCCAAATCAGCAAACGCATAATACAGTTACTCTTCCTTCGTAGATACTTCTATATTGTTTGTCTCATCACAAAAATTGCATTTGTCGTGCTTTTCTCCAATCCCGATGTGACCCCAAACTGCATTTCATTAATTTTAGTTTGTTCCCTTATCCGCTTCCCTATCACCCTCTCAAAAACTTTCATTGTATTCCAAAGTTTGATATCTCTGTAAGACCCACAAAGAAAGAATAGTTTCTTCTGTGACAATTTGATTGGCTAAATACATTAACCATTCAATCCCGAAGTCATTAGAACCTTTAAACATCTCTAATACCAACCACCCTTGTTAAACCCGCGGTCTTTCCTTTTTTCATCTTTTTTACTGCTTTCTTAATTTCGCCCTTGCCAAATTTACACCCTGGACCTTCTACCTTTGTACAACTAACATCAATATCTCATTCATTTTCTTTATTCAAAAGTCCTTCTATGTAGATTTTCCAGGTGTTCTTAATACAACTACTATCAATCACCATTTTTCCTTCCATATTTTTCAAACACTTAACAACCACATCCTGCCTCTTTTTTGCCATTCGGACCACAGATCCCATTCCTTCCCCCCATTCCATTTCTTCTGCCGTTTTTCTTCTTGCACTTTCGCTATTATTTTCTTAGCATTTCTTTTCGCTTCCTTGTAAATATTATTATCACTATTTCCTTTACTATTACACCACTCTTAAGCACTTCCGTTTCTCGCCCACAGCTTTCGCTACCTCCTGATTCTACCCCCATGTCTCCTTATGTCTAGGCGGCCCTTATGTCCATTCACATACTTCCTCAGTTGTCCTCACCCATGTTCTCCTTATGGCTTCTCCCATGCTTGTGCCACCTTCGGCTCTGATATCGCCAAGGTCATATTGAATTGACGTCTAGCACTCTCCTTCAATTTCCAAACCTTCAGCCTTGGCACAAACTTTCTTTAAGTGATTCTGGCGCCTTTAAAAGTGAGATCTCCTATAACTAGTCGGGGCTGATTAATACACTCCTCTCCCGGTATCACTTTCACATTTTTTACTATGCTCCTATCACATCTCCTTACTACAAATAATTCACTGCACTTTTAGCACTACCCGACTTGTAAGTCACCAGCTTCTCTGATTATTTCTTAAACATTGTATTACAAACAGTCATATCCATGGCATCACTAAAATCCTCTCCCCTTCCCGATTTCTCATTCCGTTACTCCTTCATAACCTCACTACTCCCTCCCACAGGTCCATTCAGATCACCAGCCAGGATAATCCCCTCATCATTTGCCAGTCTCGATGTCATCTCCAATATACTGTCCCAAAATCTATCTTTCACTTCTTCTAACCTTAGGAACATATGCCGAAATAATATTGTATAGCTTTCTACCAAAAATCATCTTGATAATCATTATCTGGTTATCTAGCCTCGATTACTTTGTTTACCCATTTCTTGCAACCAATACCCCAACGCCCACACATCTATATGCCTTCTATGCAATACATCGACCACGTCTCCCGCTCTTCCCGTCATTCTCCCAACATTCCATGTTCAACTCTTACTCCATCCCCCTTAAACTGGCTTCTCCACTTATTATCAGGTCGTTTATGGCCGTCATATGTTTCATTTTCACGAATCGTGGTTCCACCAGGTTTACCACCCTTCTTTTTATCGTAGGCGGATAAGAAGGCCCACGGGGTACTTTGGGCTATTCCCCGCCCATTCTTTATTGCAAACGTTGCTACATTTTATAGCAACGTTTTCATAATCGGATGCCTTTCCTGAAGTCAACCCCTTTAAGTGGTTTTTACACTCCGTCTAGGAGATAATGATCCTATTCTAGATCCAGACCACAGGGAATCTTTTAGACCTCCATTAGCCGCCAAAAGACTTTGCCACTCCCCCGCCATGATAAGGCTGAAGTTAGGATTTTGGGGATAAATTAAATAGATATAATTTTAAAATTTTATAAAATTTATATTTTTTATAATAGTTTATCAGGTATGTTAAATAATACTACTACTACTACCTCTAACTCACCTGGCAATTTGGACGCATTTCTAAATATGTAAGTTCTTTGAAGTATATAAACAAAAACTATTTTATTTGAGACTAAAAGCATATTTTTAAAATTTGTTTATTTTTTAATTTAACTTTTGGTAATTTCTATCATACTGGACCATGATTTGGGCACCATTTTTTAAGCATAGGGAAAAGAATAGGGTTAAACATTTTACAGGGCACTCAATTTTTGCAAGAAATTTAATGTTATCTGATCGTAAAGTTAGTGACTTATTTATATAATTGATTAAACTATAATTATTTATTTTTTCTAAAGCATTTAATGTTTAGCTAACATATATTTTAATAGTTGAAAAAGATCATCCATAACTATTCTATTTTAAATTTACAAATTATTTTATAGTATTTTTAATTTTACTCTACTTGCCACATTACCTTTCACAAAGTGGTCAACAGCTGGCCTCTCAGATTCAAAATAGGAATCCAGAATTGATAAGTCAATTAAGGAATCAATTCACCAGCCTAAATCCACCACCTCATGACCCTCAAAGCGCCGAGAACATTACAAACATCAATCATCACAATTCCTCATCAAACGAAACACCGCTTGATCCGAAGCCTAAGAATGCAGATGGTAACAATAAGGGCGATGGCGAGGCTGAAAATAAGAAGAATCAATAATATTTAAAAAGATTATGTTACATAATAAAGTTTAATTCAAAAGGAATAATATTTGTGTTATATAAAAATGCTTTTATATTTCACGCTTAAATAAATGTAAAATTATTGAAGTAATTATTTTAAACAAATTTTTTAATATATTACCCAAACAATTAACTAATTGATTGGTTTATATACATTACATATATATTAACCATTATTTCTAAGTTTTTCTTTTTTTATAACATGCGTGTATGTATTAGAAAAACTTCTTTAAAAATAGTTCTTTATCTTTTATACCAAAGTTTATCATCTCTATATGGTAGTCGGTTTAGATATATTAATTTATTATTGTTATTTTAGTAATTTTTTATTTTTCATATAACATTTTATTAATATGATTATGAACATATATATGATATTGTATTTAAATATAGTGTCTTTTTCTAACAAAATAATTAATAAAAGCTCAATGAGCTGAGGATTTACTAAACTTTTTTAATAATATTTCTTTTCGTGAAATTTAATTTTTTTAAAATTCGGTGTTACCAAAAACCCCAAAATAATTTAAAAATAAAACTTAATGCTAAAAATACAAAGATGATAACCTTTTCAATTATCATTTATGAGTAAAAAAAATTTATGGCAATACACGATAATATATTTTGAAAGCATAAAACTTTCAATATTAACGTTGAAAACCTTAAAACATTTATTCGTGATTGTAATAAGCCTCCTTTAAGAAAGTTTGGGATACAGATTCTGGAATTATTTTATATTTATTAACTTATAATTATTTTATATATAAGAAGTTATTCTAGAAAGTAACTATTACATTTTACTTTACTCAATAGTAACATCATTAAATTGACCTTATTGTTAGATAGGGCACATTAGCAAAGTAGATCGTTACCAAAACGTTGCACGTTGCTATAAAACGACCCTTTGTATTTTATCAATTGATATATATTTATTATACAAATAGCAAAATGTGAATATCAATAATTACACTAAAAAGTAGATATCAGTTTTTTATAATTGTAATGCTTGAAATATTAATAATATAATTGTAATCTGATAAACATTTATCTTTAAGCCATAACAAGCCAATTCAGCGAGATTTTTAACGCGAAACAATTTTTAACTAAAGTTTAATCTCAAAGGTAATATTATGAAACTACAATAATTTTGCAGAAAATTTAAAATAAAGACAATATCGCAAATTCATTTCCGCGAACCCTTTATAACATATTTTTTGCTCTGAATGTATTAGGTCCGTGAAGTTGGCGGAACGATGTGAGGATCAATTAACAAAACCTATGCCAATATTTAGAGTCTTAATTGATCTTCAAACTAAACATCAGCGGAATCAAAGGTTAATGGGTTTTAAGCAAAATAAGGAAAGTGTGAAATTTTGAAGCTGGTGGAACGATTTGAGGATCAATTACTAAAACCTAACCCATTGTATAGCCCGTTAATTGATCTTCTATCCGGAAAGCAGCGGAATGAACCGTTACTAAGTTATGAGCAAAATAAGAAAGTGTTGGCACTTTGCCAAAACCGAAAATATAAAAGATAATGATCTGAAACTTGGCAATTATGTAGTATTTAATATGTACGTTAATAATCAAAGCACGTATCCGTTACATTAACCGTGACCGAGTTATAACGGTTTTAAAAACGTGAAGTTGGCGGAATTATTTAAGCTGGCGGAACGACTTGAGGATCAATTACCGAAACATATACCAGTAGTCCGTTAATTGATCTTCTATCCGGAAAGCATCGGAATGAACCGTTACTGAGTTATGAGCAAAATATGAAAGTGTAGTCACTTTGCCCAAACTGAAAATAAAAAATATCATGCTCTGAAACTTGGCAATTATGTAGTATTCAATATGTACGTTAATAATCTCCAAACCGCATATCCGTATCATTAACCATAACCGAGTTATATCCGTTTTAAAAACGTGAAGTTAGCGGAATTATTTTTAGAAAGTGAAGATCAATTACCGAAAATAATGCCAATGTGAAGTCCGTTAATTTATACTCCAGAATCTTTAAACCGTATACCAGCGGAATAAACCGTTCGTGAGTTATGAGTAAAATAAAAAATGTTGGCACTTTACCAAAACCAATAATAAAAAAGATTATGTTTTGAAACTTAGCAATTATGTAGTATTCAATATGTACGTTAATAATCTCCAAACCGTATATCGGTATCCCACGTAACCGAGTTATATCCGGTTTAAAAGCGTGAAGTTAGAATTATTTTTAGAAAGTGAGGATCAATTACCGAAAATAATGCCAATGTGAAGCCCATTAATTGATCCTCCAGAATCTTTGAACCGTATACCAGCAAAATAAACCGTCCATAAGTTATGATCAAAATAAAAAATGTTGGCACTTTGACCGATTAAAAAAGATTATGTTTTATCTGTTTGATTTTGCCCAAGCTACAAGGTTTAGGCCAAGGCCTGATGTATAGCAGTGTTATATCAAGAATAGCGCGGCCCTGCCATAACCGATCTATGGAATATTTTTGTTGGGCTTTTGACCCATCTGGTTTGTAATTATCTCTGGCCGGACCGTAAAATATATTATATACAAATTGTTTAGTCCGGCTCCATCTTTTTAACTTGTCACATTGTCGAGCTTCAAGCCAAGCCGTGTTGACAACTATCAACGATTAAACATGTATTAATAATCATTTAATTTTAGTAAGAAGTCAAATTAATTCATATTAACATAACCAGCTTATAAATTTTTAAATGTCTAATATTTTTTTAAACCGGATTTTTATAAAGTATTTGAATTGTAATTTTTTACAAGATGGTGCATATAACTCCTGTACTATTAACCTAGTTTTCATTGTCTACCTCTACATTCATTCCTTTAAAATATAAATTTCATATGATAATTTGCGAATTGCACTAAAATATATATAATTTAATATAAAACGTATTATTTTTTTTGTTTTTCAGCTATAAAATATAACGATTAAAAAAAATACGTAACATTTAAAAAAAAAATTCAACCAATAAATATACTGATGTAAATCGTAAACAATTTTTACTGAAAAAGAATAAATGTAAGATAAATAATTTTGTTGATAAACGGTCTAGTACTTGAGCAGAATTAAGATAACATCATTGACCATCTTTAATTATTAAATATATCAATCTATATATTGAGAATCACGATAAAATTTGTAGTTTAAGGATGTATATATATCGTTATATAATGTATATATTTAGAAAAAAGATTGAATAATAATTTTTTTTTTTTTTTAATTTTTAAGACAGAAATTTATATACATTCGCAATCATAATTGAATCTGCAGTTTTATGATGTTTATATCAGAGACCTGCGGAGGTACCTGCACGGCCCGGTCCGGATATTTTAAAAATAATTTCAGACCCAATCCAGATTTTTTAAAAATAATTATATTTATTTTTAGTTTTTATAACTAATGGCCAATTAAAATATTTGGTTTTAAAATATAGGGCCCAGGCTTTGTTTGTCTCATAATCCAACTAACCTTCTACTATTTAGAAACCCAACAATTTTTTAACAGTCATGAAAGGCTACACGCAATCTAGAGTAGGAAAAAGGAGATGTTACTCGCGAAAGATGAGTTCTAAATCGCGATTAGCTATAGACTAGGTATCATTCCGATAATATTTGTGCCGCCTACAATAAGTAAGTTGATCCATTTTCCATGCATAGTTTCTATTGTCTTAGATTCAGGGGTCGCTTTTTGCGGCGTGACAACTTGAATTAGAGATATGCAAATCACGGCCCGGCCCATACTCTGCTCGAACCTATACAGAAAGGGTTTCAGGCCAATCGAGTATATTTTTTAAAAATAGTTACGGTTCGGACTGGGTCGGGCATTAAATTCGGGCCTGGCTAAGTAGGGCTTAAAATTTTAAATATGTTATTATTACATTTTGACAAACAAATTGATATATTATAAAAATATTAAAAAAAACAAGGCGCTAATCTTTTTTATTTTTAGTATTTTTTTTTACAATAAAAAATAATAAAAATTTTTTATATTTAAATAAATACTTCCCGAGCTGGGTGGACAAATCCTTTTTATTTTTATTTCGAGTGGAGCTTTTCGGGAAAAATAAAAAAAATTTGTTCTGGATTGAAAGGTCAGAACAAATTTATTAGAAAGATTTTGGGCTAAGAGAGTTTGAAAAATTAGGCACTAGACAGATCCCTAACCTGAATAGGTTGATCGGCAAATCCTTGATTTCCGCTGGTATCCCCAATAGTTCAGAGCCATTATGACTTTTATAAGAGGATGATAAGCGTCCGGATTGTATGTCCTTAACATTTTGGCTCGGCGGCAAAAGACTTGTCTGGGATGTGTCATGCGTTACCTCATTTCCGTTCAATAGAAATTCTGACTTCTTAGAACTCGAAGAAATCAAAAAATTAAATAAATATAGGTCCCTTTTAAATGCCTTTATTTTTATTCCATTAATCTTTAGTATTTTGGGTATTGTTTAAAAAATCGAGTTCACCCGACCAACTCTCTAGTCGTTAGTAGAATTAGTCGACTAACTTAAGTCATGAACTCAGGAACTTAACTCGTGAAGTCAAATCTATATACTTGACTCGACTAGAGGACTAATAATTCTATTAACAAGAGTCGTTAACTTGAATCGACTCGAGGACAAATAGTTTTATGAACTTGAGACTTCAGCCAGAGTCAACTAGAAGGGAGGACGCATATTTCAAATTATTTATTATTAATTAAGATATTTGTTCTGCTTTTTATATTATTTTACTTTAGACTTCCAACTTGAGTCGTGAATACAAATTATATATTAGAGTCGACTAGAGGACGAATAGTTTATGAACTTAAATCGACAACTTGAGTCGACTAGAGGACGAATATTTTAAATTAGTTAATAATTATGATATTTGTTCTGTTTTTTACATTTTTTTACTTTAGAGTTTTGCTTCAGTATTTCAAGCATAGATTATTGATAGACCAGCGTATTTATGCTTTTCATATCAGCTTTCATAAATTAGAATTTATTTTATAAAAAACATAATTGACCCTCTAACTCTATGTTATTAATATAATCATCTGTTACATAGAATTGACAATTCATGATTGATGGATGACAAATATTATTTATTCTTTTTGCTTTAATTTTTAATTTTTTTTTTTTGATAGATTTTCTTGCACTCAGCAAAAACAAGAAACATTTAAAGGAACATCTGCAATACATGCTTAAATATGGTTTAAACTAGAGCAGAAATCGTGGACGTATCAGACTATTTCTCACACTGCCTTATTTCCTATCTCTTATCCCCAGTCTAATGACAACTTATGTTTTGGCGCAATAGGAATTATGATTTTTGACGGAGTCAATGATAATCTTAAAACCGTGAATATTGATAATGATAACGATCTCCAGGCTCAATATAATAATGATAATAGTGAATAACATGGATTCTATAGACATTGCGTTATCTTCCAAGGATATACTTACCAAACATTAAGAAATTTTTTTTTCCCATCTCTTAAATCTAACCAGGTGTCAGGTACATTATTATTATTAATATTAGCTACAATTCTTAACACTATTTTGCCGGTAACGGAACTAATAGATCCCCTCTTTCTTACTCCTCTCTTCTTTACTATGCTAGCTGACTACATAGTGGTACCGTCCACTATAATAAAACGGGTATACATCATGTATAGGATCTATATACTAGTGAATATACATGGTGCACGCTACAACTCCTGGTGGGTGATGAAATTGCACGCGTGCAATTTCTGGCGTGGTAATGAATGAATGAATGAATGAATTTTTAATTTTTTGTAATTTTTAAAATAATGAAAAATTTCAATGTATTTGCCTTAAAAGATATTTTTAAAAGCATAAGTATAGGACATGAAGCAATAGATAATTTGATAGGTTATATGTTAATCCTATCTTTATTTAAGATTCAAATTATACTTAGGTGGAACCCCATTAGGCAGCATAATACTCATTGGTAAAATTTTTAAATATAAATCTGTTTCTATTTAACATTCAGAAGAAGATTATGTTACAACTCATTCAGACATATTACTCAAATATTTTATAGCACAGGGTATAGTGGATAAACATGAAATACTGTTAACAAGTGCTGATAGTGATTTTCATAAGTTTTTGGTAATTGTTATTTCATATTTTACCTAATTATATATGCTAAAGGAAATTCCAAATAATAAAGAAGAATCAGATGTTCTTCTACATAAGAATGATGATCTGGATATAGCCTGGAGATATAAAAGCCTTAAAGTTACTCAAATTAATTAAACAAAACATATTTCCATTACTCATAATTCAGGCAGCATCAGATGTGTCAAAATACAGAGATCCAAATATAATTAGTGGTAAGTTTGATTTGCAGAACATATACACTTATGCTGAAATTATAGAAAATTCCTTCCTAAAAGTTTATGATGTATATAATGATAGAATTTTAGACTATTTATCTGGCCAACAATCTAAGTATATTTTAACTATAACAAATATTCTAAAACAACCACTTCAAGCTATGATAATTTCAACTATGATAAACTTGACTTTTATAATTGTATAATATCAAAAATTGAATCATTTATGAAACAAGACATCATTCTGAATTCTATATCTGACCAACCAAATAGCAATTCACTTTTAAATGATAATAAACAACAAACAGCAATCACCTTGAACAAAAAATCTGGTGTGTTTAGAATAGCCTTACATTCTTTAGGTAAAATAACATCAATAGTATTTTAATGCAAAGGTGCCAAGACACCAGTGACAAAGCATGAATTTATTACAAGCAGCACTTAATTTTTTTTTCATTTGTAAAACCTTACAGAAGATTAAAAGCAGAATTTGTCTTTATTTCTTGAATAAATAGTGGATAACTAAATAAATAATTTGCTAAATTTTAAATAACTAAATAAATCATAGATTAGATAATCTATTATGACTTGTCATGCTTCTACAATAACTTTTTATTATTTTTAAATTTAATTAAGTGGTCTACTTAATCGGTTATGTTGAGGCATAGGCCCACCCACCCTATAAATTTTGTTAGAGTCTCTAAGTTCAATTGGTTTTTTTAAAAATAATTTTGGTTTTTCATTTTTTTATATAAAATTGCTTTTTTCTAAAGATTTTGAATTATAGTAGTTATTTTAAAAAGTTATTAACTTTTTCTTATTTTTTAATCTTCCTTATAGTTATATATTGTATACATTTTTTGGAAAGGGGGTGGGATAAGGAGTGTGTAGGGAGGGGGGCATTTTTATTAGCTTATGATATTTGCAACAACAGGCAAATTGCGATGGAAGGGAGGGATTTCCCATCCCTTGGTTATATGCATTCTAAATCAGGGATCCAAACTGAACCTGAACCGAACCGTTAAACCGCTAAAAACCGGTATTTTTTATCGAACCTAAACCGAACCTAAACCTCTAAAAAATTTCTAGCCAAACCTGAACCGAACCCGCTAAAATGCTTCTGAACCGGTTTGAGTCTCATTATTTTATGCTTATAAAATAATGTGTAAGTTTTTACTAGTATATTGCAAAAATATTAATTATATTCAAATTGTTTTAAAAATTATTATCAATCACATTTGATTGATAAACGTCAGTCATAATTTTTATAAACTTTAGCATATTGCCATTTTACAATATTTTTTAAATATTTTAAGCTTATAAATTATAATGCCTAGAAAAAAAAAATCTAATATATAAATTTTTACATATAGTTTTATAAATGACACATCAAATCTGATATCATACTGGCAATGCCAGCTACTAGTGTTGTTAAACGGCTCAATTTGAGCCGATTTTTAAAAACGGCTAACTCAATATTTTATCCAGAAAAATATTATGCAAGCCTAAATATTTTGCTAATAGATGGAATATAGGATTGAACATCTATTGGCAAGATCTCGATGCTTAGGCAATATTTTCCTGGCTATAATTTTGTGTTAGCCGTTTTTAAAAATCGGCTCAAAACGAGCCGTTTAATAACACTACCAGCTACCCAAGTTAGTGTAGGGAGGATGTTTTTCGACAAAAAAATTTATATTATCTCCTTATAGATGTAATTTGAGTGAGACGAATTTTGAAAATATATTAATTGTGCAGCTTAATAAAAAAATTTAAGTAATCGTTCATATTAAAATTATGATATATTTATTTGTTATATTTATAAATTATATTATTTTATAATGTGCAATTAATAAAAATGAAGGTTTTTATTTTAATTATGAAATTAAAAAAAAAATTTCCTTATACACAATTCGAATGTAGGTTTGAATACAAAAATGTTCAAACCGGTTTTTAGAGGTTCGAAACGAACCGATATTTTTATTTTTGGCGAACCGAACCTGAACCTTGAACCGTTATTTTTATCCGAACCTGAACCGAACCGATATTCGTTTCGGTTTGGATCCCTGTTCTAAATATTTCACTCTCTAAAATTGATACAAAACAAGATAAGCAAAGTATTCCTATTATATAGCATATTAATAAATTATCATTTATAATAAAATATTATTATCTACACTTAGACCTATGTGTTCAAAGCCTCAATTGACAGCAGCAGTCTTTCTAATTTTTTTTTTATTGGTATTCAGTAGTGCAATGATTTCACTGTCACCTAATAAATTGACAATGGCTGCAGTGCACTATTTATTTGAAATTTTTTTAAAATGAATTTAATTTATAATACAATGCATTACATTTTTTTTATAATTTATATGGACGCTCTTATTTCTAACTAGTGCTGTAAACGTTACTACAAAAAAGAAACACGTTACCGTTACATCTGAAAAATAGAACGCGTTACCGTTACATCTGAAAAATAGAACGCATTACCGTTACTCGTTACCATTTTGCAAGAGGAACGTGCGTTACCGACTTTTCAAAAAAGTAACGGGCTACTCGTTACTTAAAAAAATTAAATGTTATATATAATACAAAAAAATATTTATTTTTTTCCGACAATATATAATAAAATAAAACTATACAAGAAGAACGTATAAGATAAGATCTTTTTATAATAAAATTTTCATATCTAACGCCTTCAACTCCATTCGCCGCTCTCATATTCTCCCACAAATATACCACTCATTCCCTACCTTTTCTCAATTCTTCCATTCCTGCTATTCCATGCCATCTCATTTCCAATTCAACAACTATTTACTTTCATCATCAGAAGGGATCCAACAAAGCGATCCTCTGGGCTCGATACTTTTCTGCATTGGAATCATCGAAATGGTCAAAAACATTTCTTCCAACTGCAATCTTCCACTGCATACTTGGTACATAGATAACGGAATACTCTGTGGTCCCCCTAACGAGGTTGCTAAGGCACTCACCATCATTAAAACACATTCCCATGCTATTGGTCTCTCACTCAATGAACAAAAAACTGAGATCTGCCCATTTCATTGCTCCATCCTATTCGCCCACAACTTCCACACAACCGAACTCTCATCCCTCAGTCATCTCGGCTCTCCAGTCGGTGGTCTGGAATCCATCAACCACTTCTTCACTAACGCATCATCCAGCTTACTTCATTTCAAAAACATCTCTAAATTTCTCCCTCCCCATTAAGCTTTTTTTCTCCTCAAAAACTTTTACTACATTCCTAAAATTCTCTATGCCCTTCAATCCACCTCATTTTTCAAATTTTCCGATTCATTAAAATCATTTGAAATCTCTGACAAATCTCTTGCTGAATAGATCCTTAATCTCTTGCTGAATAGATCCTTAATCTCCGCTTTAACCATAATTCATGGTTACAAGTTCCATGCAAGCTCGGGGGCATCGGCTTACGCTCACCTCTAACTCTTTCCATCAGTAGTTTCATCGCCTCTCGTCTTTCATTTGACTCACACATTAGCAAGCTTTCTAACTTCCCTGACCCCTTTAGCCGAAGCCCAGACAATTTGGGACAATTCCGTTGTCCCAAATACTCCACGACCCTCCTCATGTTTACAGAGAGACTGGGATATTCCACTCAACGAACGCTCCATCGCTTACCTAAAATCGAGCCTTCACGACGACGATCTCACAGTTTTTAACCGATTGAACCAAGGATCCGGTTACGAGTTTCTGGAAACCATACCCTCCAACAACCTCAATTTGTTGCTCTCCGCTGACGAGCTAAGATTTGCTATTGGACTACGGCTCAATTGCGAAATCGTTCTTCCGTACCAATGCAAACAATGCGAAACCAGCGTCGACCGCATTAGACACTACCTCCACACTTTTGTCGTGGCCGTTTTTCACGGCACACCAAATGCAATGACATCATATTACGCGCCCTCAAATCAGGAGGCATTCCATCTAGTCTTGAACCAACCGGAATTTTTAGAACCGATGGGAAACGTCCTGATGGAATGTCCTTGATTCCTTCGTTAAGGCATCAGCTCCTGGTTTGGGACTTCACCTGCATTGACCCAAATGCACCATCAAACCATAACATCGATGCCCTCGCAGAATCTCTGAAAACTATAAAGTACAGTTCCTTAGACCCTTCTTTCCTATTCATACCCATCGCCTCTCCATTCTCATCACCTTCGGTAGCAAAGCTCAACGCTTTTCAAAGAATTAGGCAAATGGATCCGCGAAAAAACCGATCGGCCTAAGGAATCCCTATTCTTACCCCAATACCGCCATCATCCGCTCTAACTATCTAAGCTTCATCTCTTCCATTGAATAACCTTCCATATTCCAAACTTCCTTTTTTTTATCCCCTATCCTTTCCCGTAAATTCTATTTCTACATTTTTCACCTTTATTTATTTTACCTTTTTAAAAAATTAATTATTACTACATTTTGACAACATCATATCAGTAAATATTCAAATAAAGTAACCCATGACCGAAATTTTTTTTTATAATATGAATAAAATTATACAAAAATAATATATTATAAGATAACATCTTTATGTAACGATTTTTTATTTATTTTTAATTGATTTTCAAAATTTTGATCAGATAAACATGAGCACTTAGTACACAACACAGCTTTCGCCGTGCTAAACACACGTTCAATTGGCGCAGAGGATGGGAGAGGTGTTATATTTAATAAACAAAAATTTCAATTCGGGGAATTTATTAAAAATATTTAAGGAAATATTTTTATTTTGAAAAAAGCTCGAAAGATCATCTTCACAGAGATTTTCATTCATTTCCTGATAAAAATTTATCATCTGAAAATATTCTAATGTATGTGTTGGATAAAGGAATCAATATTAATTCATTCTTTACCTTCAAATGTTTTTTTAAGTTTGAGCTACTTGACATTGACGTTGAAATATTTGCGTTGGGACATAATTTACATTTACAAAGTGTAGACTTGGTACAATTAATTTTCTTAATTGGTTTAAAATATAATTTAAATTGGGGTCAGGGAAGGGTTAAATCTTCTTCACCTGAAGAAGTAAGTACTATGGACATAATATTCTTTTAAAATAAATTATAAATTAATTAATAATATCATTATATTTACTTTGAATTTTGATTGAATATTAATTTCGACTGATAATTTAACAACGAGAATTTAAAAAAAAAGTTGGAAGTGGTTGACATGAATTAAATCCCGGCTTAAATTATTAATATTGAGAATTAAAAAATAAAAAATAAATAAAAGTAATTTTATAATACAATATATATGTTTTTCTTTTTATTGATATTTTTTAAGAAAAAATATAAAGTAACGAGTAAAGTAACGTTTTGCG